AGTCAACGCAGCCCCCCTCTCCTGCGCAACAGCTGCCGGCTAGCGAGGACACCTGGAGACTGTAGGGGAGGTCAGCCGTTTGGGGGAAACTCTGATCTTTAGTACGCTGAATCTGTTATAGCTGATGACATGCATTAGCAAACATCGAGAACTCGTTACAGATAATATGGCGGGTGGAAAACGCATCTGCACTTGCGTGCATGCTGCCGACCAAGGCAAATTGGTGCTCAATACTTTCTACAATTCACTTAAAAGGAAGACAAGGAATTATACACCCATCAGATCCTGTAGCGGGTCGGTCCTGAGCGGCAGTGCCAACTTCACCGCCAGCCCTGGACCTGGGGTCCTTGGCGAGCTGCCTCAGAGCTTCTCTATCTATATAAAGCTACTTGATTTATTTCTGTAAAGACTTCATTTTTTCCCTTTCTGCTCGATAGGCAGATGCAGGGCCGACTTGAGCAACGTTGTATTGCAGATGAACACTACAAGTTCCTTGTATCTCCTTAGTTGTGCATTCGCCTTTAGAGTGCAACCGAAGACTTACAGTTGCTAATGGCATCCTGTTTGAAAGAAGGGGACGTTTTTGTCTCCATTGGCGAGGTCAACCATTTCACCTTTTTGATAGGGCGCCACACGGAGCAGTGTTAGCCCTTGGTAAACAGAAGTCTGGTGGTCTCAAAACCTCTTTTTCGATGGTTTATACCAACCCCGCCCCCAATTGGAGGCATTCAGTAACCGATTGTGTAGCGGAGAGGGTAAAACGGGCGTGAAACGGTTGCCGTCGCCGGTACGGTGTAGCACTTGCGTAACAGAGAAAAAATGCCTTTACCACCACCCCAGCTGCAAAAGAAGATAAGGGGCTTGAAAATAGGTCTGAAACAGAGCCCCTGGGTAAAGGAATTACGAATGGGGGACCCGTTCGGGAACTTGCAGGTACTGATGGCAGCCGACGGGTCAGGCACTACAGAGTATTGCACCTACTTCTTTTGCACTAAACAGGGTCGCGTCGCTTGGAAACAGCAAAGGAACTGGAGGTGCAGGAATCTGAACAGCGCTCTCAGAAAATCCAGCAGGGGAGGCGCTGTGGGCAAAGTGCAAGGTACTCAGTGATGAGGCCGAATGATGAGGCCGAATGAGGTGATACCTGCACTGGCGTATCTTTCTCTAGTCAGCACTTTACTGCTCTAAGTTTGCATTATTGGCCAGAAGTTGCTAGCGTACCTTCACGAAGGTTGCGAAGTGGATTTGGTATATATAGTAACGGAGAGGTGCTGCAATTCTTTGGGGCAGCCTCGACGACCCCCCTTCGTGGATATAGAAGGCAAGCAATAATCCGCAAACTGCTAGCGTGCAGTAAAAAGTCAACTTAGAAATAGGCCATACTACCGTGATACGAGATTATTATGTCGGATTACTTCCGCACGAGATATGCTAGGCATGCCGGGGATGGCGCAGTGTTGGGCGGATACCCGGTGTCCAGACGCGACTGTTGAGGCCTATATGCTGCGAGGAATTCAGAGAGTGGATCTTGTACCTCTTCCAGTGTCACCTGGGTAATCTACATTAAGGGAAATGCATTCAATGTCCCGAGGCGAAAGAAGAGGAGGAGAATAATTTACGCAGTGCGGTGCGGGAAAGACGAAGAAATGTACGCACTCAGGTGCGACGCTCTTACGAAAAGAGTAGTATTAGGTGACTCGATCCGCTTAATGCCTCGCGACCAGCGGACCTATCCACAATTGTGGAAAGGGTTCTATGATGCATTTAATAATAGGTAGCTAGCAGCTGGCCGGCCACATTCTGGGCTCCCGATGGTCGACATTCCCATAGCAGCCCAGAGGCTTGTTTCAAGACACAACTCACCCCCAGAGCTTGAAGATAAAATCGAGAGGCAAGCAGGCGAAGTGCTATGAAAGTGCAAAGCTCAACAGTCAACGCATGTGGACGCAATCGAGTGCAGGGGAAGAAAAATGACGGGACGCGGAGCAAGAGCATCGACAGCAAGCAGCTCAACAAAATTACCGTGAAACGAATGCTTGCAAGTCCCCAGATCAGCGTAATACGTGACTGCCAACAGGGTTCAGCAGTCTATTCATCAGTGGTCTCCCCTGGTGCGTTTTTGCACTTCCCAGTATATCCCGAATGCGTTACATAATCGCATTCGCAAAATAATGTACAAGCGTACGTCTGCGGGGGGGGTCGAACCAGATCCGGGGGAGAGGCTATTCGAATATGGCCTCCCCCTGATAAACTCAAACGGAAATTCAGAGGTTTCTCAGTAGTGCACCATACTACTGCACCTTCATCGCTGCATTTGCTCGCGCCGCATCCCTTCTACCAGGCCAACTTGACTAGTGCAGAAAACTTGTTTGGGCAGCTACCGACGAGGAAACGGCCATAAGCCTCATCGGAGACCTCGTCTCCAGCACTTGCGCACCCACATTGTGACCAAATTCTCTTCGTAAAACCCGATGCCAGTGACACAGCAGTTGGGATGATGCTCTTTCAGCAATCCAACGGCTGGAAGCACGCCCCCCTTCTCCTGTCGCCAGCATCGTTTCTCTGAAAGAGAGCCGCAGTATCCTACTTGCGATAAGAAGCTCTACTCGATCTGGTGAAGGGAAATAAAGCGTTGACAATATTCGTATGACAAACAGTTCACTGCTGGGCCGGGCAATTCTTCAGGTGCATCCATTAATTATCGTGAAATTAACGGCAGTAACTGCAAACGTGGCTTTGCTCAACGCACGATAAAATTGGGCTGCACCTAACTATTCGTTGTTGCTGTCGCTATGTCAAGGGAAAAAACGCGCTTATCACTACCCACAAATATGCTCTCTGGAGTGATATATCTACCTACGGCTCAGTCTGCGCCTTCGTTGGAAACACTCTCATTTTCGCATTTATGTTTGAACCTGGGGGCTTGCGGGCCCGCCTCCGGCCCCCGTACACCTTAGCAGCTGTTGGGAGACCCTGCAAATTTTCATATTATTTTCACCTCTCTGGACCTGCAGCAGCAGGATCAACAGCATCTAGAGCAAGACCTACAGCTGGAAGGGCTGCTAGTGTACCGGCGGCTGCCGACGTACCCGAGCCGCACGAAGGAGTGCTACACCAGCGACAGCACCAGAAGCGGCGGTGGCAATCAAACCAGAAACACCCGCAGCACTAACAACAATAGCGATAGTAGCACCAACAACACCGGCAGCACTGCTTCCACTCGGACATGAATGGAGCGGGAAGGGTGATGGCAGCCAAAATGGAGCTATCCAATATTGTTGTGAAAAGGAAGGCAACGAAGCTTTGATTAATGCTTTCCACTGCATTGAACTGTGTGGGTATCCGATGGGATAGGGGACTGAACGAGACGAGCCAGCGCTTTACCACAGGCGCTGCAACTCCACTCACAAAGTACTTCTGAATACGCATAAGCTTTTCAACGCCGTTCTGTGCATAGAAATGCCAGCTTTGAAGCGTATGAGCGACGCCACTGTTGCGAGCTCCGGGGGCTAATGATTCGCAGTAGTGTAGCGGCAAAAACGAACGTTGAAGTGAAGCAATGCTTTCATGTTATGGCCTGTCTCAAGCTTGATTTGCCTGGAACTGCTGCACGCATTTGTACTTGAATGGAGGCTGTCTATTACTGTAGGAACTGCGTCGGGCAGCGTGGCTACATGTGCGTTGATCGCCCGGCCCTTGGCGGACAATTCGAGGTATCACCGAGAATTCAGCCAAGCCTACCCAAACAATTCCAAATGCCCTGAATTAATGATGTGTTTTTTTAAATTTTATATTTGTGAGCGTAAAGTGCGAACGATGGCAGAGAGTAGAGCCAAGCTGACAGACTCAACAGGTTTCAGTAGTGCTATCCAAGGCGGGCAAACATATTGTACAGGGCAAGGAAGCCAAAATGAATCACAAAAGTTGCATTTATAAAGCGTGAGAAGTCGAAGGGAAAACACGATGGATTAGAGAGGGAAGACCTTCATTCTGAACCTTTGCTGCATTTGTACTTCACCTACGCGCAGAGCTGGATACAACCCTGAGAAGTCGAGGACCTCACGAGCCACTGGGTCAAAAGCGGGACTACCAATGTAAGCCCCAAAGAGCCTTCTAACTTCAGTATAAAAGGCCCTTATCAAAATAGGCTGGAAAGAAGGCAAACCGTCTTGCTGATACGAGGTGTACGCGACAACAAGGTTATCTGTGGCCTGGTGACGGAGAGGGGAGCCTGAAACACCTCTGCGAGGAGCCGTTATTCACCACAAGAAAGTGCAGTAAGCAAGAATATGCGATTATTAACAGGGGTGGCTTCCTTTTCAATGAACACCTATGCAGATGCCTCAACAAAGTTGCCGTTACGCAACTGCCCGACTGGTTTTGCGCAGATGCCAATTTCGCCGATTCCCGGACTCAAAAGGGAGAGTTAATGCTTTTACTAACCAAATATTGACAACCCCATCATTTAGGAGGGAGAAATTGCGATGTTGATGCCATAAATTGCTACTGGGTCAATGGCACACGAACGCGTCACCGCCTTCGCAGGCTGCGTATCAGGGTTTCATGGCATGCAGGGGACGGTGGAGGATGAAAAACACCCGTGCGACCGTCGAAACTCCATTCGAATAAAAGAAACCGTCTTGAATTCTTTTTGTTTTCCATCTGACTCGTTTGTTTTGATGATGCCGCCGCACCACCCGAATCTTCTCTTGGAGCCTCTTATCGAATTCACAACACCGTCCCCGTTGGCAATGCTGCATTCACTACTTAGCTCCAAAGTGGGCCCATTTTCTTTCAGAACACTATAAAGCAGCTCTTCATCCAGCATTTGAACTTCCCACAGTTGGACCGAGTGGAAGACTGAGGCGCATCGAGATCAGGTGGAGGTCCGAGGCGTATCTCATGCCACAGCGGAATGCAGCTTGTGTGCCTCATGGCATCCACTTCCACACTTTAGACTTGCTGCCAAATGCCAAGCCTGCATAATATTTCTAAGGGTCATGCATCCCCAAGCACTGTTCCACTTCCAGCTTTTCGCCTCTTCAGAGTTACCAACGGTGTCGATCTCTGCTCGACCGGTCAATTTGAGACCCACACCCTGTCGTTCTCCTTCATTTTTGCGTGATCTCCTAGCAACCCTAGCCTCCGTCACAGCTGTTGCTTTACTTGTCCTTTTCTGCTCGCGCGCTTATGAGGGACTTGCAGTCCAGGGCCTTCGAAGCCGCAGCCTGGCCGGCGCAGAAGGCAGCGATGCGTCACTTGATATTTGCGGCGTATCTGGTGACGAAGAGAATCAGCAACAACGCCAGATTCCGCATGGATCCAGGTTGCCTGCTGGCGAGGAGCTGAAATTGCCCCTTAAGAAGAGGCCGTTTTCGAGTGTAGCTGGGGCGGGTTTTGGTGATGGTGGACGTGGTCCCCAGGAGCAGCAGCATCCATCTCTCCATGGACCCGCTGGAGCCGATTTACGTCTACCCCCACCCAGCGCGGCTCCAAGGCCAGAGCAGCTTGGCTACCCACAAGTCCTGGTTGAGCAGCCAGCTGCGCATTTGCCTCCACTGCAAATGCAGATGCAGTTCGATGTAGGCGTAGGGCAGCTGACGTTCTCCCCTAACAGGCATCATGCCTGGCATCCTGCTGCTGTTGGGTGGGAAGGAGTGTATGAGGAGTTGTGGAAGCTGCAGACACAGATGTCCCGGCTACAGTGTCAGATGGACCGGCTGGCGTGGCAGCTGCGGCGGAAACGGCGAAACAGGCGACAGCGGCAGGAACGCCACTATCATCATCAGCCGCAGCGCGATCTGTTCGAACAGCAACAACAGATGCAGTGGCAGCGCCCAGATTGGCAGCAAAGACAGACGCATCCGCTAGTGCAACAGCAGGAGCAGCAGCGCCGGTTGCAACAAAGCGATGAGCAGCAGCCAAACTCACCTACGGAGCAGCAAGTGATGCCGCAAGACGTGCGCAAAGACCAGCACGATCGAACCAGGCGGAAACGGAAGCGGGAGCAGCAAGGAGAGTCGGAGCTGCCGGAGAAGCAACGGGAGGGGAATTTGCAACTTGCCGATCCGTTCTCGGCGCCTATGGTAGAAAATCCATGGCTTCCCCCGTTATCTGAAAGGCCTCATACACCTCAGCCCAGCACCTCGCAACCGGCGATGCGGTCTACCACTGCTGGTGCAGCAGCAGATCCCTCGACTGCCGAGGGCATCAGCATGCAGGTGAGTTCGGGATCTTCGCAGCCTCATGATGGCGCAACTAGTCCAGCTGCAGCTGGGGATTCAAATTGTGAGGCTGATGGAGCTGCTATCACGGGGGATGTGCCTGAAGCAGCGGCGCTGGATAGTCCCACTGCTGGCGTGTCTCCTGCTACACCGACGACTGCCGGAGAAGCCAGGAGCTTGGGGGCGCCGACCCTTGCTGCTTTGCTGACTGTTGGCAGACCTGGAGTTGTAGAATCAGCAGCTGTAGCAGCAGCGGCATCAGCAAGCAGCGCCATTTCCGCAGCTGCAGCGGAGGTGACAGAGGCGGAGCTGCCAGAGGACCCGGGGGCTATTGGCAGACCTACTGCTGGCGTGTCTCCTGCTACACCGACGACTGCCGGAGAAGCCAGGAGCTTGGGGGCGCCGACCCTTGCTGCTTTGCTGACTGTTGGCAGACCTGGAGCTGTAGAATCAGCAGCTGTAGCAGCAGCGGCAGGAGCAGACAGCGCCATTTCCGCAGCTGCAGCGGAGGTGACAGAGGCGGAGCTGCTAGAGGAGCCGGGGGCTATTGGCAGACCTACTGCTGGCGTGTCTTCTGCTACACCGACGACTGCCGGAGAAGCCAGGAGGTTGGGGACGCCGCTCCTTGCTGATTTATTGACTGTTGGCAGACCTGCAGGTGTAGAATCAGCAGCGGTACCAGCCGCAGGGGCAGGCGCAGGCAGCGCCATCCCCGCAGCTGCAGCGGAGGTGACAGAGGCGGAGCTGCCAGTGGACCCGGGGGCTATTGGCAGACCTACTGCTGGCGTGTCTCCTGCTACACCGACGACTGC